TGAATGGGCTACAAAACTGCATATCCGAAATTTTTCTAAAAATATTATTAACTTCCCAATTTTCCACAGGGCGAAGACGACGTCGTTACGACGTCGCTCTGGCGAAGTCGTTTTGGTGAACTCGAAACGACGTCGTTACGACGTCACTCTGGTGAAGTTGTTTGGGTGAACTCTAAACGACGTCGTTACGACGTCGCCCTGGTGAAGTCGTTTGGGTGGACTCGAAACGACGTCGTTACGACGTCACTCTGGTGAAGTAGTTTGGGTGAACTCGAAACGACGTCGTTACGATGTCGCTCTGGAATTTGTTTTTGGATAGCTTTCATACTTTCACAGTAAATGCAGTTTGAAGTTGAAAATGTGGGTTCTTGTGGCTTTTACATAGGTATATACATATAGTTCGTTCTATTTTCAAAAGTGAGGTGTCAAATGACAGGGCTTGGCCTGTAGATGTGCAATAAAGTTTTTCAACTTTGAAAAGGGTTGCCACCTGTTACAAATTTTATTAAAATTATTTAATAAGTTAAATGAATTAGATATTACAATGTGGGTATAAAGTGAACTAGTTTTGAAAATACTTTACTTGCCACATATTTAAAAAACCAAATTCGCTTTAATTAAGGGAAAAAGGTAACTGAAATATGTATGACAATATAAGTATCAGAAAAATGTGGCAACCCTATTCGTCATATTTTTAAGCTAAAACCTTCTTAAACCTCTTTCGTCTGACTCCCTTATGGTGATACCTATTTCAATTACCTAATTCCTTTAATTCAAGTGAAATTTGATTTTTTAAACAGGTGGCAACTCGCTGCATGTAGTTAAGACACATTTCGATTGATACCCATCTCTTAATAATTCATTTAACTTATAAAAAAAACTTGAATGTAATTTTTTAACTATCTAATTTTTTAACGGGTGGAAACTCCTAAAAAAAAATAAACCTTCTATTATCTACAGGTCAAGCTTTTTAATCTGACACTTCATTTTTGAAAATGGAACAAATCGTGCAGATCTCAAAGCACTGCCAAAAAATGGAAAAATAATTGTATGCATTAGTGAAAAACGCATTACTTCAGAAAGTGCAAAAAATGAGCAGGTTTTTATTTCTTCTGTTGAAAACTAAAAGCCCGTACTATTTAATAAAATAATAAAAAAATAACCTATTTTTACATATATTTTTTATTCATTCCATTAAAATTTACAATTTTTTTAAATTTTGTTTAAAAAAAAATTATTTTCTGGAATACCGTATAATTTTGTTCTAAAATTTTAATTGCTGTAATTCTCTACCATCCATATGGAAATAAGAAACGTCAAACCAACATTTTATTTCAAAGAATATATTTTACGATTTGACTGTCAACCTGTGCGGACGTGTTTTTTAATCGCTCCGCCGAGAAATTATTAATAATTCACGTAAAGCAAAGAAAAAAAAAACAAAAACAGAACCAACGCGAAAAGACAATACTAGGCATAAATAAGCTTTCTGCTTATTTGCCTATAATTATAAATTACTTTTTCAGAATTTTCGCAATGCCGAGAGAAATTCAAATGAATGTGCCAACATGCAATAAAATAAAAGCAGCTCCGGCCCCACCGAACTAGCCTAGCAACAAGCACAGTAACAACGGTAAGCGCAGCTCTCACAACAACGACTACAACCACGACTTCAGCAATGACAGCGGTTTCACAACGCAGTTCACCCACACCTGCACAAACGGAAATTTCGGCACCAGCCCAAGCCAAGCAACGCAGCTCAGCGCAAGTTGACCTACTTAATCCAACAACCCGTACATTGACTCAAACGGGTATTGATAGGTATATACAAGTCAAACAAAAATTAAGCCAACAGCAGCAAAAAATTGGAAACCCATCAAAAATTGCAAAAACGAAAACCACTGACATTAACCCTCCACTGGGAAATAAGTTTGCGATTCTGGACAATGAATGTGACAAAGAGCCGAATGAAGTTTCTAAAGCCAAACCCACACCGCCTCCAATTTATTTACGAGAGCAAAACTGTAGTGAGCTCGTGAATAAATTAACTCAGCTCATTGGAGACAATACGTTCCACGTAACATCAGTTACCAAGGGCAATATGAGACCAAACTTCAGATTCTAACTGAAGAAAATTACCGGTTGGTAACCAAACACCTTAATGAAGATAAGAAAAACTTCTATACGTACCAGCTCAAAAGCAGCAAAGGACTGCAAATAGTAATAAAAGGTGTAGAATCAAGTGTACCCATTTCTGATATTGCTCATGCTCTAGAGAAGGCAGGATTTTCTGTTAAAAATGTTGTCAATATTATCAACAGAGCAAAAATCGCTCAGCCTATGTTTAAGGTAGAACTTAAGCCAGAAACAAAGCCAATGAATAAAAACGCAGTGCACCCAATCTACAATCTACGATACCTTCTACACCGAAGAATAACAGTGGAGGAGCCGCTCAAGCGAAACGGTCCCGTACAGTGCACAAATTGTGAGGAATTTGGGCACACCAGAACATACTGTACCTTGCGCCCAGTGTGTGTTGCCTGTGGCGACCTTCACGCTTCCGCTTCGTGCAAGGCTATCAAAGATGATGTGGCCGTAAAGAAATGCAGTAATTGCGGAGGTAACCACACCGCCAATTATAGGGGATGCCCTGTATACAAAGACTTAAAGTCTCGCATGAATCAGCGCAACACAGCCGTACGCTCTTCCACGACTCCAACTAGCTCTTATACATACCAACACCTCACGCCATCAACCACTACACCAGGAGCCTTTTTTGCCAATGCGCAGCGAGTTCCCAACGTTTCTTTTGCCGACGCGTTAAAACTACAAACGCAGCCAAGCACGGCGAACTCCAATCAGGAAACATTTGCAAATATTCAAAGGAATAATACTGAGCAAATGCAGCCGAACCCCCTACCTGTGGCATAGAAGGAATGATATTGAATCTTACTCATTGTATGACTCAATTCATGTCTACTATGCCAAATATGATTCAAGACCTCATAAAGGCTCAAAACCAATTGTTGCAAATTTTAGTGAATAAAAAATGAGTGAATTGAAAATTTGCTTATGGAATGCTAACGGTGTAAACCAGCGTAGATTAGAACTGAGTCAATTTCTCACTGAATACAACATATATGTTATGCTACTGTCCGAGACACATTTAACAAATAAATACAATTTCTCCATACCTGGATACAAATTCTATGCCACAAATCACCCGGATGGTAAAGCTCATGGAGGCACAGCGGTGCTGATTAGAAATCGTCTAAAGCACAATATTCTAGAGTCAAAAGCAACAGCCTGTCTGCAAGCAACTACCATATGCTTACGAAACCGCGACCGAGACTTGAATCTATCGTATTTATTGCCCACCGCGATTTTTAATTTCTGAAGATGACTTTAAAGATTTCTTTGATAGCCTGGGTAATAGATTCCTGGCAGGAGGCGACTTCAACGCCAAGCATACGTACTGGGGATCACGCCTTATTAACCCAAAAGGGCGGCAGCTATACAATACCATTATAAACAGGCACAATAGACTAGAGGTCACATCTCCTGGTAAACCTACTTACTGGCCTACCGATATAAAGAAGATACCAGACCTAATAGATTTCGCAATTACAAGAAACATATACAGAAATAACATAACAGCAGAAACTCTACCTGAACTATCATCCGATCACTCCCCTATATTAATAAAACTATATGAACAGACCCAAAATATCGAAATTGAGCCTCGTCTAACTTCAAATAACACCAACTGGCTTAAATATAAAAAGTACATCAGTAGTCACCTTAAATTAAACGCTGCACTTAACTGCGAGCGTGATATAGACTCCCTTGTTGAACATTTTAATGAAACCTTTACTTCAGCCGCTGGCCTGGCAATACCAAATCAAGTCCAAGTACCACCTACGCATACATCAGTTACAAATACCGAAATAGAAAAACTTGTGGCAGAAAAGCGGCGCCTAAGAAGACAGTGGCAGAGCCATCGCTCACCAACCTCACAGCTACTGTATAAAGCTGCCAGTAGAAAACTGAAACAAGCACTCAAACGTGCAGAGGATCGCAACTTGCAAAGGTACATTAAGAAGGTTTCCCCGTATTCTACTGAAGGATACTCTCTATGGAAATCGCTAAAATACTTCAAACCACCAGTGGCTACAGAAATGCCAATTAGGAACCAATGTGGAACCTGGGCTCGTAGTGAGCAGGAGAGAGCCGAGTGTTTTTCACACCATTTAAAGAATAGGGGTATTCTCTGAGTCTTGCAAAGCCCTTGCATGGTGCACAGATTGCACGGATTGCACGGTAAAAACCGGTTTTCGTATGGGACAGCTTTGCAAACCGTGCAATCCGTGCACCGTGCAAGGGCTTTGCAAGACTCAGAGAATACCCCTAATGTGTTTCAGCCAAACTGTCCAACGAACAACTTCAGGCTGCCACGGCTAACCAAAAATACAAATGAGCTATACACACCTAGCAAGACAAACTCTTCAGAAGTAAAAGCTATAGTAAAGCAGCTTAATCCAAAGAAATTGCCGGGTGCTGATTTTATAACTCCGAAAATGCTAATAGAGCTACCGAATGTTGCACTAGCAATTCTTTCTGACCTTTTCAACGCTATCCTCAAATTCGGTTACTTTCCGAAGTCATGGAAAAGGTCGAAGATAATCATGATAGCCAAACCTGGAAAAGACGCAATACCACAGTATACCAGTAGAATAGGTTTTTGTTTTTGTAGCTGTTTCGTGGTGAAAGTCCTTTATGGGGACCAAATTTTCCCACAAGAAATTGGACGCATGGTTGCTTTTGCGTCTCAAAAGAATGAATATAGAAAACATTACAAAAAGTCTAAGTTAATACAATTATATTCAACTAAAAATAATCACAATAATTTGCACTTATGAGTTAATGTGATAATCATGTGTAAAAACTCTTTTCAACTATTATTTATCACTAAACAATTTTGCGGATCAGATTGCTCGGAGCGCTTGTGTTGTTTACCAAGAAAATGCAGCCCTGTTGGTTTTTATTTCTGTATCGCATCGCGGTGAGTTTCTATTTCTTGGTAATTCTGTTGTGAAATGGTAAACAAATTATTGAAATTTATTTATTTGATGTGTAAAACATTTCATTAATGCAATTTTCTGTATTTTCAGACTATTAATTACAAGCACAGCATCATCAACGGTGATTGCAAGAACTACTGCAATCCCTGCGGTTTTTCCTCTTGGTAAATGCGTTCTGGTCGTGACCAAGGGTGGTCTCCCAAATCGGCCGGGAATAAGGTTAGTCATTTTAAATTTTATATCTTTGTTCGTCGACATTATATGACATGTCATCATTGCAGGCTATTGTTGCAGAACAAAACGCCGCAACCACTGCTGGGGTAAATATGTTCCAGCAGAACTGCCCCCCGCCGTCGGTGTAATGATTTCGATAGCTGAACAAACGCCATCTCCTGGGCATTCCCACAGCTTGCCGACACTAGCTATTATAGCACGTGTGAATGCAACTGCGGCTAAATTTGGTTATTAACAGTGCAATAGTACCATGTCATTGGCAAAAACACTAAGGGCTGCTGGCACACAGAGGTTGTAAAGTTTTTGGTATCGATGATCTTACTCGAAGAAGACGATGGCCGAAAACATATGATGAAACATCTTCTGGCAAGCCTTTGAAAATCGTTAAGTCAGACGGAGTCTTCACATACGATATTTAACACATGGCTGGAATTCGTTAGCGGACAGAGCACACATTTACAAAATATTTATCGTTCTACAGAACGTTCATGCATATTCGATTCCGATTTTATGGGTTGATTACGGAGGACAACCGAACTTCAGTTGGTTGGCCAGTGGCTGAAATGGTATTACCGATGGCAACTAGCAACTGAAAGCTGGCAACTAAGTTGCTATATTGGCAACTGCATTCTTGTGGCTGCCGCGAAATTTTTATTGAGATACTTTATTTCTTTTTTCAACTTTTTTTTTTTTTAATTGTACCACCTTGAATTTTATGAAACTTAATTATTGCTATTCATAATAAAAAACATTTTCATTTCAGTGGCGCTGTCCATCGGCAACCCAACTGAGGTTCCGTTCCCATCCATAATCGATCCATAAGTCATAATCGCACGAACTAATCAAGGCTATCATAGAATCTATCGTAGTCCGATTTTTCGTGAAATCTACGAAAATGCTATTAAGTTCGAGTAGCTACGAACGCAGCGCTTGCTTTGAATACACACGTTCATAGCAGTTCAGATTCAGTGATCGCTTTTTCGTAGATTTTAAGAAAAATCGGACTACAATGGATTCCGCCACCAATATGTTTTCTCCTTTGACAAGATGTTGGAGAATCGCGGCAGCACAGCCGTATACCTACTCTATGCTCTTACGCGCATATGCTAAATTTCTCGCACCTAGCTAAAGTGCTTGACAAAGGCAGAACGCATATCTTCAACATACTAACTTAAAGTAAAAAAGTTTAAGGCATGCAATAAAAGAATACAACAGAACCAAAAAATGTTCTCAAAACTATTAAATATAAAAAATTGCACGAATAAAATTCATAATTTAAAATAAAATATCGCAATTGTTTTTTATATGTACATACGTATTTACAAAATAAATCTTAAAGTAAGTCCTAAACATATAAATGACTAATAAGAAAAATAATAAATAACAGTAATATGAAAAAGTATGTCGAGAAATCTCTAAATAATAGCGAAACTGTATCTCAATAATAACAAGTCATTTTAAGCAAAAAATACAACCGACTTCAATGCGCATTTAGGTCGTTCTGGTTACGTAGAACGTATTCTACAGAAAAAAATCAAGATACATATTTAAGGATTTTAAGTAAAAATAAATAAAGGAAAACTTGTTCGTGATATCTCGACCAAGGTGTATTCATGATACAAAAATCTGAAGGTAAAACCGCTGAAAGGCAGACTGAACATTTTTAAAGTTTGCTAACATTACAAAAATGTTTTCAAATTTCCAATCTCACAAATACATTCTCATTTTCAGTCTCAAATAAATGAAAATTTCAATATTTTCATCTATTTGTTTTTTGTTTTACTTTTATTTGGCATTTGAGTTGCTCTCAAAATTTCAATTTTATAAAATAGACTAACTTCAAAAAATAAATGATGGCCGACGAATTGAGCAAGCGGTTTTACCTTTAAATATTTGTATCATGGGTGTATTAAATAAGAGGCCGTATGCATAAATCCTAAGCAAATGCTTTTTCTTAAAATTGCAGACCTTTCACTAAATTTTTTCAAATAAATTTAAGTGAAAGGTATGAAAATCTGAGAAAAAGTAATGGCTTAGTTTTTATGCATACGGCCCAAGGTGTTATTAACAACTCAGTGCGGCTCTCTTTTAAGATACTATTATGTAGAAAAATATAAACAAACGATTCAAAAATCATACAAATGGATGGTTCTTCTGAGAGCATGGTCAAATTCAATCACGCTTTGTTAAATACAATTTGATCTCTACTAAATAATATACTTCCTCTGTAAATATTTTATGAATTGTTCCAAAATTCGCTCCGAGGGCGTTCACTGTTGATCATTTGATTTAAATAGTTTGTCAAACAATTAATACTATAGTTTGATCTAAGTTAATATATTCTTCAGTAATTAATTATATTATATTAAAACATAAGCTTATGAGAAATCATTTAGTCTTAGCATGCATATTTTATATCGTGAACCAAAATTCGCTCCGAGCGCGTTCACTATTGATCTTTTGATTCAAATATTGTTTGTCAAGTATTCAGTAGTGAAGTTTGATCGGAGTTTATATATATTATTCAGTAATTAATCATATTAAATTGAAATATAAAGGCATAATATGGTAGAAAATTAGAAATTATTTAGTGTTAATATGCATAATTCGCTTCGTGTTCCAAAATTCGCTCCGAGTCCGTTCACTATTGATCATTTGATTTAAATAATTGTTTCTCAAGCATTCAGTACTATAGTAATTGATCACATTTTATTAAAATATAAACGTTTAATAGGGTAGAAATTGTGAAATTATTTAGCTTTAGCATGTATAGTCGCCAGAGACAATTGCAGAAAACTGCAACTACTCGTGAAAACTTACAATAAAAGCAATGTAGATGAAAGTAATAAATATTAGCATTAAAATTAGATCCATATATAAAACATTTTACATCAGTCAATTGAAGTAAATCGGAATATATTTTTACATATAAGATAGTTTGCATTTAACTCATAAAGTACATATTTCACTAGAAATATTTTTAAGATCATTTTGAATTGCAAAAGTAGCGCTAATTAGTTGTATTGAAGTATAAAACATTTTATTACGTTCATTTTTACTTATAAAGCGCATAACAATATTTCTCTCGCCATTTTCCGATGTTAAAATTGTTCACCACATTATTTTGCTGCACAGCACCCTGAATGCGGTAAAACAGTTGCTCGCAACCCTCAAGTCCTTTATGGGGACCAAATTAACAGCCACAACAACAAAAACCTTTTCTACTGGTATACTGTGCGCAACACAGCCATCCCAGCGTTGCCATTTTAGCCGTTTTCCGGCTAGATTTAGCCGGTTTTGATAGCAACTAGCCGGAGAAAATTCAATCTAGCCGGCAGCCGATTTGTTAGCCGGTTTGTAAAAAAAAGTTAGCCGTTTTTAGCCGATTTTACTATTTGCCTAATTTCGACGTGCAAAAAGTAAACAAGTTGTTCGAAAGCAATAATGCAGACCCAATGAAGATTTTTAATGAACTCAATGTTTTACTTTCGCATCTATGCTCCCTAGTGGTTATTAGCGCGAACACATTTGATCCTATATGCTCCCCGTTGTAACCATACCTTGCTCCATTTCCTCAGCTTTATCACAGTTTTGAAGAGTATTTAAAAACAAAAGTAAGCACAAACGCTTTTGACCACGAAGCCGAGAAAATAATTCGAGAAAATGGTCGCTATTTTATTATCACTTTAATAAAGGAATTACGCCTCCCTACAAATATTGCCACACTAAAAAAAATTTACTTTTTTCGGTTGGAAATGCATTAAGAGTAATTAAACCAAAAGTATTTGTTCAACTACAGCAACAAAAACACAAATATAATGCCGACGAAATAACATCCATAGAGATGCAATGGCAACGGTTAACGTTACATACCTGGAGTAATTTAGACTCAACTGTAAAATTTTGGGCCGAAGTTTATCAATTTCGAAATGCCCTAGGAGAAAACCCTTTTGCTCACCTTTGCAACCTAGTTTTTAGTTTGCTTGTTTTGCCTATAAGTAATATATAAGATACGGTTTAAAACGTGAAGAAAAATGTGGATTTTCACTAAACCATTTTAGCCGTTTTTTGCCAGAGTCTATGTGAAATTTCACTAAAACATTTTAGCCGTTTTTAGCCGCTTTTTTTTGCCAATCTAGCCGGTCGGCCCAAAAAGTTCTGGCAACACTGAGCCATCCTCATACAGACCAATAAGCTTACTGCCCTGTCTTTCCAAAGTATTCGAAAAAGTACTCCTATCAAAGATATCTCCCTTTCTCCATGAACGCAATTCAATACCAGCACACCAATTTGGCTTCCGAGAAAAACATGGTACAATTGAACAAGTTAATTGAATTACAAATGAAATCAGAAGGGCATTTGAGCTCAGAGAGTACTGCTCTGCAATTTTTCTCGATGTGGCACAAGCATTCGACAAAGTGTGGCACGACGGTCTTCTATATAAAATTAAAAAATTGTTGCCGCCGGAATTCTACAAAATATTTGAATCATACATAACTAACAGAAAATTTGCTGTTAAAGTATCTAATTTCACTTCAGAAAACATGTCGATAACGGCTGGCGTTCCTCAAGGTAGTGTACTCGGGCCTATGCTGTATATCATCTACACTTCAGATATTCCAACTAGCAAGAATATACTCACATCCACCTTCGCTGATGATACCGCCTTAGTAAGTCGTAATAAATGTCCCAACAGAGCCTCAAGAGTACTAGAGGAACATTTACTACGCATAGAAGAATGGCTGGCAAACTGGCGCATAAAAGTCAACGAACAGAAGAGTAAACATACAACATTTTCACTCAGACCGCAAGTATGCCCCCCAATCAAATTAAATAATGTCCATATTCCACAAGCCAATGAGGTGACATATCTAGGAATACACTTGGATAGGAGACTAACTTGGCGCAAACACATATCAACCAAGATTACACAAATGAAGCTAAAGTGAGCTAGCGTGAACGGGCTTATAAACAGTAAATCAAAACTGAAACTAGATTATAAAGTACTTGTATATAATACAGTGATTAAGCCTATATGGATGTATGGTATTCAACTGTGGGGTACGACCTGTGCAACCAACATTGACAGGATCCAAAGATTCCAATCTAAAACGCTAAGGGCCTTAACGGGAGCACCGTGGTATGTCCGCAATGAAAATATACATAGAGACCTTGGTATACCGACGGTTAAATCTGTAATCGACAGCAGCAGAGAAAAATACAAAATAAAACTGCGTAACCACCCAAATCCGCTGGCAAGTGGCCTGCAGCAGATCCAAAAAATAAATGCAAGTATAATTAAAAAAATATATATATTTTAGACATTTTTTTCTATGAATAGCTTACGCATGGCTATGCTCTTATTAAAATTCTTAGTGTAAAATTTGTGGACTTTAGTGGCTTCCTGGTGGCATATAATTAATTTTGTAGGGAAATGGCTGTTTAATTCTTTTTAGTGGATAAATTGTCTTTACAAAAATACCAAACAAGTTCACATTGCAGATAACCAATTTTTCGATTTTTGCCCACTTAGGCGGCACTGTGCGTCGCCCTGGTGAAGTCATTTGGATGAACTCGAAACGAATCCGTTTCTTCGAGCCTACAAGTTTTTTGAGGAACCTTCGGTCTGGTTGGACAAGTTCCACGCCAAAATTTTTATATATCTAAGCACAAATAAAAGTCATTCATTTGGATAGTAAACCGTTTTTATTATGAAAATTTTTTATCATGACAGAATATGGAATCCACAATGTACACTTGTGCTCAGAAAATTAAGCCACCTACATCATATAAATATAAATTTTTTTTATAAAGGTATAGTTCACTCTATTGGCCTTATTAATAAAAAATAAAATTTGTGGTTATGAAGGTTTTTTAAATTTGGTAGAAAACTGTACTTTTACTTTAAATTTGATATACAAAGTGTACGAAAAAAACACTAATAACAATTGAAATACATATGTAGGTGTCTTAATTTTAACAAAAGTGCCTTTACAGTGTTTGGGAAATTAATGTGATAAAATGCAATTTATTGGCCACCTTAATTTTAAAGATCTTACATATATCTACTACGTCGTGTCTACAAAGAGCTCCTTCAGGCATTACGGAATTTGAGTAGTGAATAGTAGCTGATGGTATTTCATATGGGGAAAATTTTT